AAAAAAAAAAAAAAAGAGTGTCTGTAGCTTTCCTCAGATTTTTTGAAAGTGATAAACTAAAAGTTGAAGAACTACTACCACAGAGTGAAAATTCTTTTAGAACCTGAATAATTTAACTTTCTTTATATGAGATTAAAGATATGCCTACGTCCCAAATTGTGTTTTATGGTCAGTATTTTTAGTAAATTCTAATGTATTTTCCTGTAGTTGAAAATGGCTCATATATCATATATGAGAATCTTATTGATCTGATTTTTTTTTCTTCCTATTTGAAGGTTTCTTGTTCTCCTCAAGGTCTGACAGTTTGGGTTCAGAACACTTCATATTTGTGTAGTCGAGCTGGGCAGGTCCTCCCCGTCAGTATTCAGATGAATGGCTGGATTCATGATGGTAACCTGCTCTGCCCATCATGTTGGGACTTCTGTGAGCTCTGTCCTCCAGAAACTGATCCTCCAGCTACTAACTTGACCCGAGCTCTACCACTAGGTGAGTAGTCTCTGTGGTTGGAGTAAAGACAAGGACTTTTCTTATCTAATGTTGGAAATTCCCTTCAAGGAAACTCTAAAGCAGGTGGAACATCTTCTCTTCTAATTGCAATTTTATGGGAAAGCCTTCTTCCCACCATTGTGAGAAACTGAAGGTGAGTAAACATTATGTTTCCATTCAGTAAGAGCGAGGATAAGGAACCTTTCTAAAGACCCTCTGATTTGGAAAAAAAAATGAAATTAAGTGTAAATGAACTTGTGCTCATTAAACACAAAAAGCAATTAAATGTATTTCAGTTATACAGGCACACCTCATTTCAGTCTGCTTTACTTTATTACACTTCACAGATACTGCATATTTTACAAATGGAAGGCTTGTGCCAGCTGTCAGCCGCTCTGCCAGCACCACTTTTCCAACAGCATTGGCTCAGTTCATGTCTCTGTGTCACACTTGGGTAATTCTCACAATATTTTAAACTTTTAAATTATTACTATATTTGTTATGGTGATCTATGATCAGTGATCTTTGATTTCACTATTGTAATTTTGTTGTTTTGGGGCACCAGGAACCACACTCACTAGAAAGTGAACGTAATTGCTAACTGTGTGTGTTCTGACTGCTCCACCAACCAACGATTCCCATTTCCCTCCTCTTCCTCGGGCCTCCCTATTCCCTGAGACACAACAGTGTTGAAATTAGGCCAATTAATAACCCTACCATGTCCTCTAAGCATCTGAGTAAAAGAGAGAGTCACATGTCTGTCACTTTAAATCGAAAGCTAGAAACGATTCAACTTTGTGAAGAAAGCATGTCAAAAGTTAGTTGTGTCAGTTGGCCAAGTTGTGAATGCAAAGGAAAAGTTCTTGAAGGAAATGAAAAGTGATATTACAGTGAATACACAAATAACTAAAAAAAAAAAAAAGTGAAACATCCTTACTGCTGATATGGAGAAAGTCTGGGTGGTCTGGATAGAAGTTCAAACCAGACACAACATTCTCTTAAGCAAAGCCTAATTCAGAGCAAGGCCCCAACTCTCTTCACTTATGTGAAGGCTGAGAGAGGTAAGGAAGCTGCAGAAGAAAAGTCAGAAGCTAGCAGAGGTTGGTTCATGAGGTTTAGGGAAAGAAGACGTCTCCATAACGTACAAGTGTAAGGGGAAGCAGCAGGTGCTGTTGTATTAGCTGCAGCAAGTTCTCCAGAAGATCTAGCTCAGATAAACAGTGGAAGTGGCTACACTAAACAACAGATTTGCAATGTACATGAAGCTTCTGTTGGAAGATGCCATTGAGGACATTCATAGCTAGAGAGAAGTCAGTACCTGGCTTCAAATCTTCCAAAGGCTTCCAAAGGCAGGCCAACTCTCTTGTTAGGGGCTAATGCAGCTGGTGACTTGAAGTTGAAGCCAGTGCTCATTTACCATTCTGAAAGTCCTAGGGCCCTTAAGAATTACACCAAATCTACTCTGCCTTTGTTCTGTGTAGGTGGAACAACAAAGCCTGGATGACAGCACATCTGTTTGCAATATGGTTCACTATTTTAAGCCCAGCGTTGAGACTTACTTCTCAGGAAAAAAAATGATTCCTTTTAAAATTACTGCTCATTTTGAATCCATCTGGTTATCCAAGAGCTCCAATAGAAATGAACAATGAGGCTCATGTTGTTTTCATACCTGCTAATACAGCATCCATTCTGTAGCCCACAAATCAAGGAGTAATTTTGACTTTTGAGTCTTATTATTTAAGAACTATATTTTATAAGGCTGTAGCTGCCATAGATAGTGACTGCTCTGGTGGATTCAAGCAAAGTAAATTGAAAACCTTCTCGCAAGGATTCACCATTCTAGATGTCATTAAGAACATTCCTGTTCCAGGCGCCTGAGTGGCTCAGTCGGTTAAGTGTCTGCCTTTGGCTCAGGTCATGGTCCCAGGATTCTGGGATCGAGTCCCGCATTGGACTCCCTGCTCGGTGGGGAATCTGCTCCCTCTACCCCTCCCCCCTGCTTGTGCCCTCTCTCTCTCTCTCATGCGCTCTCTCTCTCTCTCTCTCAAATAAATAAATAAAATCTTAAAAGGGGGGTGCCTGGGTGGCTCAGTCAGTTAAGCATCTGCCTTCCACTCAGGTGTAATCTCAGGGTCTTGGGATTGAGCGGTGCTTCCAGCTCTCTGCTCAGTGGGGAGTCTGCTTCTCCCTTTCCCTCTGTGCTCATGTGCTTTCTCGCTGTCTTACTCTCTCTCAAATAAATAAATAAGTAAATCTTTAAAAAAAAATTCGTGTTTCATGGGAAGAAGTCAAAATACCCACATTCACAGGAGTTTGGAAGAAGTTGATTCCAGCCCTCATGGATGACTTTGAGGGTCCAAGACTCCAGGGGAGGAAGTAAGTACAGATGTGGGGTAAACAGCAAGAGAACTAGAATTAGAAGTGGAGCCTGAAGATGTGACTGAATTGCTGCAAGCTCCTGATAAAACTTGAATGGATGAGGAGTTGCTTCTTATGGGTGAGCAAAGAAAGTGGTTTCTTGAGATAGAAACTACTCCTGGTGCAGATGCTGTGAAGACTGTTGAAAGGACAACAACGGATTTAGAGTATGACATTAAACTTAGTTGATAAAGCAGCAGCAGGGTTTGAGAGAATTGATTCTAATTTTGAAAGAAGTTTTACTGTGGGTAAAATGCTATCAAACATCATCACATGCTACAGAGAAATCATTTGTGAGAGGAAGAGTCAATCGATGTGACAGGCTTCATTGTTGTCTTATTTTAAGAAATTACCACAGCCAGCCCCAACCTTCAACAGCCACCACCCTAACCAGTCAGCAACCATCAACATCGAGGCAAGACCCTCCACCAGCAAAAAAGATTATAACTTGCAGAAAGTTCAGATGATAGTTAGCATTTTTGAACAACAAAGTACTTTTAAATTAAGGTCTGTACATTTTTTTAGACATATACTCTTGCACACTTAATAGACTGCAGTACTGTGTAAATACAACTTTTAAAATGCACCAGGAAACAAAAAAATTCATTTGACTTGTTTTATTGCAATATTTGCCTATTTGGTGATTTGGAACTGAACCTGCACTATCTCCAAGGAATGCCTGTATTATGAGTAGGTGAGGTAAAAGAAAGGGAAGGACACTGGACAATATGGTTAAAGAAGGGATTGACATACCCACAAAGAAGAGAAAGGTGCAAGGACACATAAATATGCACAAAGCAAGATAGAAAGATGGGCTAGTAGAGACAAAGTGGTTTTCACGGATGTGTGTTTTTCTCATTCTGTGAGACTCCAGAGAGTTGAATTGAGAACAACAGAACAGAGTTGTAGGGAGACAGATTCCAGTTAAATCCTTTTGATCCTTAGTCCAGGAGAGGAATGGAAAGAACTACCTTGAGAAAAGGCCATTTCCCATTACTGAAGCTGTGTGAACTGAGCCTGATGACCCATTTCTGAGAGTTACAAAAGCAGATTTCATGAATTCTCAATTAAAGCTTTCACCTAAGATCTATTGAGATTTTAATTAAATGACCTCTGTGATTTTATGGCAGTTTGATATTTTAGAATATGAATAATAAAGATCTTATGTACTGTTTCATTTTCTCAGTTGGGGGTATTTTTTAAATGGAACTGGGTAGCCCTTTGCCTGTTCCATGGTCTGGTTGAAAATGGAGGGCTGCATTCATTTACACCTCAGTTTCTCCACCTCTAAGATTTAATTTCCTTTATTTCCCAAATCCTGGGGACTTTCTGCAGATATGAACTGTTAGGTAGAGCATGAGTTTTGGAAGACTGGTACTTGTGGGGGTGCCTGGGACCACCTCCAGGTTTGGTGATTCTCGAGGACTCACAGGACTCAGCCTGTAGTTGTATTTATGGCTAAGATTTGTTAAAGTGAAGAGATACAAAGCAGAATCAGCAAAGGTTGGCAATAGGGTGAAGTCTGGCAGAAACCTGTTCTCGGATACCAGCTAAACCATCCTTGCAAGCAGGACTTTCAAAGGATGGCAATCTCAGGCCTGCTATGTTAACTCTTTTCTGAACAGAACTTCAGGGAGTCAGCTGTTTTCTGCAGTTATAATAATAATGACACAATGAATCGTTTGAAATGATGTAAGATCTTAGGTCCTGGGGCGCCTGGATGGCTCAGTCGGTTAGGCGTCTGCCTTTGGCTCAGGTCATGATCCCAGGGTCCTGGGATCGAGCCCCACGTGGGGCTCCCCACTCAGCAGGGAGTCTGCTTCTCCCTCTCCCTCTGCCCCCCAGCTTGTTTTCTCTCTCTCAAATAAATAAATAAACTCTTAAAAAAAAAAAAAAGATCCTAGGGACACCTGGGTGGTTCAGTTGGTTAAGCATCTGCCTTCAGCTCAGGTCATAATCCCAGGGTCCTGGGATTGAGTCCCACATCAGACTCCCTGCTCAGCAGGGAGCCTGCTTCTCCCTCTGCCTGCCACTCCCCCTGCTTATGCTCTCTCTCTATCTCTCTCTGACAAATAAATAAAATCTTTAAAAAAAAAAAAAAAGATCTTAGGTCCTTTTGGTGTGGTAAATAGTATAAATAGTGTCAAATATTCTTAGTTAACTTTTACTTTTAATATGAAGCTGGTAGGATGACTTAATTTTGTTGTTATTGTTAAATTGTTTTGGTTAGAATAAGAGGGCTGATAGTCCACAAGTTAGGTGGTTCTGATGGAGTTCCCATCCTCAGGCCTAATCTCAGGTAACTGTGACAGTCTGTCACCATCTCATTGTCCAAGACATGAGCAAGGATTGAGCCACTGGCAGAGTTGAAATAGTTAATTCCAGCTAGTTCAGGGGTAAGAATCTTGGGAGTAGAGTAGAAGAATGTCTAGGAATGAGAGAAAATCCAAACCAGGTCAAGGGGCTATGAGATGATTATTTCCTGTCCTTGGAGCATGACAAAGACAAGTGAATCTATTAAAAGGAGGTGGGGGGTAGAGATTGAAAATCACCTGCACAGTCTGCACCTTAAACTCTGCTTATCCTACTCCTTCTTTATCAGTCACCCTTCTGATACGGTGCTGCTATAATGTGATTGATTTCCCTGTTAACTTGCCCATTTCTATGAGGAAGCATGCTCAAAAGAGCGTTGCAAGCACCAAATCACTACTACAATTTTGAAAAATGTATAAGTATTACAAGAACAGATACATTTTAGGCATTGCTTTTTAAGCATACACATCACTGTTGAAATTCTAAAATATCCTGACTTACTGTATTTGTTAATGTGTTCACTGAGCATACTAGCCTTTACTGAATATTTATTGAACTATGTGCCAGAAACTATGACAAATGTTTCTTTCAGGTAAATAGTTTGTTTCTGTGTAATACTTTTTTATGACCCACTAAATATGTAAAAATATTTTGATGCTTTAAATGTACCTGTGTGAGAAATACTAATAATTAGAATTAACCTATGATGAACCTTATTAAACAAATTATCACCCCTGATCTGTCTTAGGAAAGTATTTTTTTAGGTTTTTAAGCATGCCTATAAAACATTAAAAATGCTAATATTCTGGAGGAAGTGTAAAAGACATTCTCCCTAAATTCTTCTGATTTTTGTTATTGTTGTTCTTAGGTGTTAGTTTGCATAGCCTTTTCTTATATTTGTAATTTCTTTTAGAATGTAAAACTCTGGGGTTCCTGGGTGGCTCAGTTGGTTAAGCGTCTACCTTCAGCTCAGGTCATGATCTCGGAGTCCTGGGGTGGAGCCCTGCATAGGGCTCCCTGTTCAGTGGGAAGCCGGCTTCTCCCTCTGTCTGCCCCTCCCCCTGCTCGTGCTCTCCCTCCTCCTTCTCCTCTCTCTCTCTCTCTTTCTCTCGGATGGGTGGGTAAAATCTTAAAAAAAAAAAAAAAAAAGAATGTAAAACTGACTTTCTGGGGCGCCTGGGTGGCTCAGTCGGTTAAGCAGCTGCCTTTGGCTCAGGTCATGATCTCAGGGTCCTGGGATCGAGTCCCGCATTGGGCTCCCTGCTCAGTGGGGAGCCTGCTTCTCCCTCTCCCTCTGCTTGTGCTCTCTCTGTCAAATAAATAAAATCTTTAAAAACAAAAACAAAAACCTCTGACTTTCTTTTCTCTCTCCTTTTTTCTAGTTGTCACTTCTAAGTGCTAGGGTGTGATTAGATAGTTCTATATTGCCCAAAATAGTTTCCATTAGTGACTATGAAAGATTTATTTCTGAATTCTTTCAAGTCTCTTCAGATTGTAGGGGTTGTTTTTGTTTCCATTTATTGAATGCTAGGCACTTTGCCAAGTGCTTTATGTCCGTATCATTGCATTTAATCATCACAAAACCTAATGAGGTAGGAATTATTGTTTTACACATGAGAAAACTAAGGTATAAAGAGATAAAGTAATGTATTATCCATGAACTAATAAATAATGAAGTTCAGATAAAAACTAATTTGTCTTAAAAAAAAAAAAAAACTAATTTGTCTTATCTAATTCATTTTGAAACCCTCTTTCTGAATCTTTTCGTTTTAATTAGTACTAGCACTGAAAGTGCAGTGTTTTTGAAGAACAAATGTTCCAGAACTGCCATTAATGTTTTAAAAGCTTGTTAAATATTAGTACCAACAGTAGATAAACAATGCCTACTTCTCCTGTTTCCTTTGGGCCAAATTGAAAATCAGGAGATAAAGGGATATGCTTATGTTATTAGTCACTTCAGGGTCTATTCCTTAATGCAGCCCAGACCACTCTACCACATCAACTCTGGGTTTATGGAAATGTTTCCATAGTTTGCACTATCCAATACAATAGTCATTAGTCACATATGACTGTTGAACATGTAAAATGTGGCTAATGTGAGAAACTATTTTTATTTTTTTAAAGATTTTATTTATTTATTTGACAGAGAGAGCATACGCAGGGGGAGCAGAAGAGGGAGAAGCAGGCTCCCCACTGAGCAGGGAGCCCAACGAGGGCTCGATCCCAGGACCCTGGGAACATGACCTGAGCCAAAGGCAGACGCTTAACCAACTGAACCACCCAAGCACCCCGAAACTATTTTAATTAGATTTAAATAGCACATATAGCTGTGGCTGCCGTATTAGATATTGCAGTCCTAGGTCAAAAGTTCTCAAACTTTATACATCAGAATCATGTTAAAATCCAGAGTTTTGGGTTCAGAAGATCTGGGTCGGAGCCTGAGAACTTGCATTTTTAACAAGTTCCCAGGTGATGCTGACACAAGGACTACACTTTGAGAACCATTCTTAGCTAAGTGGGATTTTTTTTTTTAAGATTTAACAAATACCAGCATGATTCCATTGAGGAAGAATAGAAGTTCCCCATGGTTTACCTGGCTTACAGCCACAAGTATTTTTTAAAAATAATTTTTTTAAAATACTTGTTCCACACTGCATAGTGCTCAGAAGTACAAGCTCCAGTGCCTTGACATTATCATTCTATTCATCCTATAGCTGAAGACCAGTCCTATTTTTCTTACCTTTTAAGCACGTCAGACTTGAAGCTTGGTTGGTTCTTTATTGATCAAAATATTAGAAAGGACAACTCATTCTAAAATAAAGTCAGGTTGACCTGGTCTCTTGACTGCAATAAAAATGTTTTCTATTCTGAGAATTGTTTTAAGAAGTCATTTTAGCCCTCAGAACAATTTGTGGCTAAATTAAAATATATTCCTAGTGCCCAAAGCCCATAGAATCTTCTGCCATTTCTTTTTTTTTTTTTTTTAAAGATTTTATTTATTTATTTGACAGAGAGAGAGAGCACAAGCAGGGGAAGGGAGAAGCAGGCTCCCCGCTGAACTAGGAGCCTGACTCAGGACTGGATCCCAGGATCCTGAGATCATGACCTGAGCTGAAGGCAGATGCTCAACCGACTGAGCCACCCAGGCGCCCCTCTTCTGCCATTTCCATATCTGCCTGGGGTAATATGGATAGATGGGCAGATATTTAGAGATCAGGTACTGGTTTACCTGGGACAGTCCATGTACTGTGGGCTTGGTATAATTATTAATAGCATTCCCTTGTGTTAATCAAAAAGAACAAATTAGTTGATCTAAGCAAATTTTATTTCACACTTCATAAAGTAGGCAGTCTCATCTCAAGAGTATAAAGAACTGCAAAATAAGGGGAAAAGACTACAGGTAGGGAGCAAGGAAGAAGTACTTGGGTTAAGCTGATTAGCTGGGCTGGCAAGCTGACCTTATTTAGAAAGATCAAGGAAGGGGCGCCTGGGTGGCTCAGTCATTAAGCATCTGCCTTCGGCTCAGGTCATGATCCCAGAGTCCTGGGATCAAGCCCCGCATCGGGCTCCCTGCTCCGCAGGAAGCCTGCTTCTCCCTCTCCCACTCCCCCCTTTGTGTTCCCTCTCTCGCTGTGTCTCTGTCAAATAAAATCTTTAAAAAAAAAAATCAAGGAAAAAGGAAATAAGTACAAGTACCAGAGTTGGCTTGGCAGTTGAAGATTAATTTACTAGTTATACTGTGTTTCTGGTCAAGCAGAGGAACACAAAAGTTATCTAAGTTTCAGTTTGCTGCTGTGGCACCACAGGCACGAGTGGTTCCATCTTGGGAAATTTATTGCAACACTTGTCTCAAAATGCCCTGATTTGGGACGATAAATTATAGGGTTACCCTACTTAAAAAGGACAAGGAAGAATAGAGGAAGAAGGTCCTGCAACCCATGTTAGAATAGCCAATATATTTATTTACTTTCCTGTGTAGCATCTTTAGTTTTGTTGGGATACTTCCTGAAGACACTTCTTTCTTTTTTGGGGTGCTGCTTTTAACCTCAATATGGTGGGTACATCATCTTTTCTTCCTGCATAAAATATTTCGTTCTTTTTCCATAAATGTATAAAAATGACTTTGCATATCTAGGTCTCAGGAAGTTATTCTTGGTTCTGCTCTCCAAGGTGGTCCTTGTTCATCTTTTAATAGTCACCTCTACTCATCTGTCAATTTCTAGTTGCTATGATTTATTCCAAAAATGTCTCCAGAAAGTCAATTTTTTGTTTTCAATCCTAGATCTCTGTTCCCGTTCCTCTAGCCTCGTGGTCACCCTCTGGCTTCTGCTAGGCAATCTATTTCCTCTGCTGGCTGGATTTCTTCTGTGTGTATGGCACTAGAAATGGAAAAGTGAATTCTCAAGACATTCCTTTGTGTCACGTTCCTCTGAACAAAGCACAAAATCTGGGAGAGTGCCAGCCTAGGCAGATGGCAGAAGTGGCGTTCCTGACTTTGGGTTGGAAGCGTTGACCACAATCAGACCTTGAAGCAGAACTTCACAGCAGTCACTCTTCAGCAGCAGCCCAGCAGCCTCAGAGCTTGGAGGAGGAGAAGGAATTCTAAGTCACCACGTCTTTATTTATCAGGATATATAACCTGCCTGAAGTTTGCCTTTGAAAATGGGATAATTGGTGAAATTTTCAGAGTGATTACATACCCCAGCATTTTCATTAACCTAAAATGATGGGAAAGTTCATCAGTACTGCAGTAATTTTTTAAAATGGCTATTACAAGATTATAAATTGTGGATCCTGTCCTCAAAAGTATAAATTGTCCTTTGACTTACAGATAGTAATTGAATTGGGTTTCTACATCACTATTATATCTTTATTGAATTTAATGGCTGTGCCTGGTACACTTAAATCATTGTTCTCATTGTTCTAAAAGGTGTTTTTTTTTTAATTATGTTTTGCTAAATCTTATGATTTAACCGTGCTTGCCTTTTTCAAACCAGCTCTGTTGCAGTTTACTACTGAACGATTACACGTTGGTAGCCCTTCCAGTTGTATCTCCAGTAGTTTAATCATGACTTGAAAAACTGTGGACACAGAGAGAGAAAAATACTCTGCCCTGTAAAAACATTGAAGACATGCAAACAGAAGAAAACATAATTGTATGTTTTTCAGATAATAATTTTGACAACTGTAACCCAACAAAAATAGAACTATTCCTTTTTGACCAATGAAGATAAAAAGAAATTATGGTACTGCGTAGAGAGATATGCAGTTATTTTCAAGTGGGCTAAGAAATTGTTACAGAACAATTTCTACTATCTGAAAATTATATATAAGAAGAAAAATATAAGTCAAAACAAGGTGGTCTGAATTGTTTACTAATAGCAAAGTGTAGGCTTGTAGTAGGGCCTATTCAGTAGGACTCCCTTTACCCACAACATAAGCCTCAGTCCACAGAAGTCAGAAAATTGCCTGTGCTTTAAAAGGAGGTGATGTTCTTGACGCAATGTGATTCCTGCCCAGTGCTCTCAATGTCAAAGTGAAGAAGTTCAATGAAGCGCAAGTAAATGGCAGGAGCAACTATGACTCTCTTAAGGTAGCCAAATGCCTCATCTAATTAGTAATGCATATGAATGGATGAACGAGATTCCCACTGTCCCTACCTACTATCTAGAGAAACCACAGACCAAGGAACAGACAAAAAAACAAAACAAAACAAAACAGAAACAAACTATAAAAGGAGGTGATATGTTTTGCTTCCTGCTTTTGACACTCCTCCCGTTACCAAATAGATTCTCATCCTCAGAAGCAATTCTCCTCTGGTACTAGAGCTTACCCCCCCCCTTAGTAATTCCAATTTGAAATTTTTTAATGATGAGTAATGCCCAGTTGTTCTCTCTAAAGCTAATGAAGTCCTGTGGCATTATAAACATAACTCCTGGACAAGATTCTTTCATTCATTCATTCATTCATTCATTCATTCATTTGCCTTTTAATTCAGCATATAGTTATTGAGCACTCCATTTAAGAGATTATGCTAAGTGAGCAAGCAGTATAATTATTAAAAAGTAATTCCAACTGACTATTTGGTATTGGAGCCAAACTGCAACCCCAGCATAGAGGAAAGTCACCTTTTTCTAATGCATAAATTTTAAATATGTATTTGCATGCAGTTTTAAATTGGAGGTATTTGTCATTGTAAAAAAAGTGGGGGTCGCTAGCATAGCCAACTTCAGCTCAAGAGAAGTTAATAGTAATGGTGTCAGGCCAGTGCTCAGTTTTCTGCCTTTGTCACACATTACTTTAAAAGTCAGAGAAAAGTATAGAGTATATTTTTAAAGAAAATTATAAAACTCTAAACTTACATATCAACTGTGATTATGAATCATCCTGCAAAGTTGTAAAAAGAATTTCACCAAAAATATGATGGATAATCTATTTGAGATTCACAGTGGTAGGTTCAACTATATTTTGACTTGTGCAGTAACGCCATTTAGGTAGTATTGTTTCCAAGCATGGTGCTTTTTATACTTGAAATATATTTTTGCTTTGTTTTTTATTGATATAATTATATTTGCACTAATGACTTTCTGGAGAAAATATTATAGATGACATTTTTTCTATATATATTTATTAAGCTTGGAATCTGATACCCTAGTGTTTTCTCTGCACAAATAAGGAACTTGATAAGGTATGAGGCTAAGAAATCTTGAGTCTCTGAGGGTAACTAACAGCTCTAGTGTCTTCCTTCCTCTTCAACAAGTCTTGAGAGTGGTTGCTTATCACTTATTCTTCCTAGTGTACTCCGTGAAGACTTAGAAGGCCACTGAACCTGTAAGAAATGTTAAGAGGAACATTTGAGTCACTTAGAATATGACCATATTCTAAAAGCAGACTTAAAATCTGAAATTTCAGTGCAGAATTAGTGGGCTAGAATTCAGCTTTGAAATGAAGAATTCGAAATGGCCTCCTGTGGTAGGATGCCTTTTATGTTAACAAAACCAGTTCACTGAGAAGACTAGCAGACTGCAGCCATGGTGGAAGTGAGGTGGGACACGGAAGGAGAATAAGGAGTAGCCGATTTGGGGACAGTAGACTAGAGTCTCTTTCTTACTCGAAAAGTGTGGAGTGCATATAAAAATGGACTAGACTACCTCAGTTTTTAGTTCAGATTTAGGTTCATTTTGATAGTATTAAGGTCCCAATTGTTAAAAATAACAAGTGAATTTGTCTCTCAGGTTTTCAAGAACAGAATTTACAGGAAGGCAGCAAAAGCCATGTCAGCAGACTTGAGCTGACAGCTTTAAAGAAACTGGCAAGCTGTTAGGGTAGTCTTAAGGTAGACCTGTCTAATATTCTCCTGAAGAACATCCTTTTCCCTTACTTATTTCTCAAGGATATTTATTTTTGTTAAGAACAAATAGACATTCTTAAAATGTTACAAATTATGCTTGAAATTAGTTTCAGCCTAGTATGTTGGCTTAGAGTTTATCAGTATTTGAAGATGAAACATAAATTAGTGAAGTTTAAATGGCTTTAGGAAGATACATGAATAAACATATCTGAGTATTCCATAAAATTTTATCAATATTCTCCTCAATATTAGAAGAGCAACTGTAAAATGACTATAACTAGCTGCTTTCTCAGATTCTTTTACCTCTAATATTCTATGACTAACACTCATTCAGACTCAGTAGGTCACTGCTGGCTCTGATCTGCTTCCTCGAGTATGCCAGCTTGCACGTCATGTTCATCACGGTCTTGTGCTCAGTGCCGTAGCGCTGTCCACGTCCTTGGACTGGAGAGAGAAGAGCCATCTCTGAGGGCATTTGAGCCATCCTGGTAAAGGAGGTGGACTTTAGTCATAGCCCCACAGACCCATTTCATAGTGATCACTAGTCATTCATGCCATGTTCTTGCAGCCCTGGAGGACGAATATATTAAAGTCTGTGCTACTCATTCTGAAGAAAGAACTTACCTGAAAGGATGACGACTTCTTCTTCTTCTTCTCCTTCCTCTCCTCCTTCTTCTTTTCTTCTTCTTCTTCTTCTTCTTCTTCCTCTTCCTCTTCCTCTTCCTCCTCTTCCTCCTCTTCTTTCTTTTTTCTTCTTTCTTCTTTCTTCTCTTCTACTCCTATCTTCTTCTTTCTTCTCCTTCTCCTTCCTTTTTTTGTTGATACATTCAGTCAGGATAGGGAAGGAGTGATGAATTATTTTCTTTTATGTTTACATTTTTGGTAAATGAAATAGAAGATTTAAGAACTAATCTTTATTTGTGTTATTGAACTCTAAGTGTAATGTATTCCTTAGTAAAAAAAAGAAACAACTTCAATAAAAATGGAAACTAATCTGTATCTTGTCTTTACTTACCATCAATTTTTTTTAAAGATTTTATTTCTTTGAGAGAGAGAGAGCACATGAGAGGGAGGAGGGTTAGAGGGAGAAGCAGACTCCCTGCTGAGCAGGGAGCCCGGTGCGGGACTTGATCCTGGAACTGCAGGATCATGACCTAAGCCGAAGGCGGTCACTTAACCAACTGAGCCACCCAGGCACCCTACTTACCATGAGTTTTTAAAACCTGGATGAAGAACACAAGCCATGTGCACCATTTGGGGAACACAAGGTGTTAATTGTGAAATAATTCAATTTCTACTTTAACTGGACTAGAATTGTCCTACTTAAAGAATGGGGACAGATCTTACGTAAAGCATAGGGAGAAGTCCTCCTCAAAGAGTTATGTAGGAAAGAGAGCAGTCTAAAACAATTCAGGGCAAGCTCCTCTGGCTGCAGATGATCCCAGTCCCTTTTGTTTTACGCTGTGGGCCACGAGTCTCATTGCATGAGCACCCTTGCACATTCATGTGCCATGCTCTGTGCAGTAGCAGCAGGGAGACTGGCTGTAGTTTTGGAGTGTGATTGTTCCTCATAACCTGAATATAGTTTGAGGAAGGATATCCTGGACATGCCTTCACCATGTGCACTTGGAGCCAGTCTGCCCTGTGGCACGGAGCCATGCACTTCGTGAAATTGACTGACATAGTATGTGGGACCTAATTGCCAAGCTGAGATCTTTGTGGGAAATTTTAATAATAATATTTAGATTTTTAAAGTTTTAAATATTTCATAAAAGTAGCTAAAACTGTATGTAATAAATTACTTCAAGTAGTTGAATTAAGCCAATATTATTTGCATAGTGCACTGAAGATAAAGCTGTCTATATCTTATATATTACACTGCTCACCTTTTGGTATGTTGATCAAGTATAGCTTATTTAGTAGGCATTATTCATAAGCTGTCTTTTGCCTATAACCTCTCTGATAGATTTGCCGAAATGGAGGGGTTTATTTAAATCAGCTTTGTTAAGTGTTCCCCCAGAAGTTCATTCTTTAATGTTTAAATTAAATTGGACATATTTGGAAATGGTTGTCCAAATATGTGCTCTGATGTTCCAGTAGATAGCCACTACCTTTCCCATTCTATATGTATAGAAATGGGTTTTTTTCTACCTATGGACATTAGTATATCTTAGGTTCAATGCCACTTTAACACTCAAAGCCACTAATAGTTAATTTTTTCAATTTAGACAGAAACAGTGACTCAACAACTTTATGACATTATCACATTTGGAAATACTCAAATCACAGTATCTGAACACCTCCTGGCTTCTTCTCCCTCACCCCATTAGGTTTCCTAGTGACATTTCAAGAAGGCTACAATCAACTTGGAAGAGATTTTCACATGCCTTCCCACATGTGGTTGTTCATGAATGTGTATACAGTGAAGCTTTTGATGTATTTGGCTGAGGTCATGAAAATTTAATGTAAGTTAGATAACCAAGTAGAGTTTGCTCTATTGTCACACACCTCAGCACAGTTTGCCACCCCAGTCTCCAGAGTCTTAAATCGTAAACAGGTTATGCCACTATTCTAAAGTGATTTGGGGCGGGGGCGGACCCTGGGTAGCTCAGTCGGTTAAGCATCAGACTCTTTTTTTTAATTTTAATTTTTTTTTTTTAAGTAGGCTCCACACCCAATGGGGAGCCCAACATAGGGCTCAAACTCACAACCCTGAGGTCAAGACCTGAGCTGAAATCAAGAGTTGGATGCTTAACCGACTGAGCCCCCCAGGTGCTCCAAGCATCTGATTCTTGATCTTAGCTCAGGTCTTAATCTCAGGCTCATGAGGCCCAGCTTGGAGCCTACTTAAAAAACATAAATGAAATGATTTGGTTATGGGCGCCTGGGTGGCTCAGTTGATTAAGCGACTGCCTTTGGCTCAGGTCATGATCCTGGAGTCCCAGGATCGAGTCCCACATCGGGCTCCCTGCTCAGCAGGGAGTCTGCTTCTCCCTCTGACCCTCCTCCCTCTCGTGCTCTCTCTCATTCTCTCTCTCGCAAATAAATAAAAAAAATTTTTTTAAATTAAAAAAAAAATGATTTGGTTAGTTGTGAAGTTTTATGCTTGCTAGTAAGTAAATAAAATCTGTAAAATCTGTTTTTCTTATAATAGGTTTGACAAAGGAATGAAGAGGGAGTTAGTAAGTGCTATATAGATGTTAAATAACCCTTAGGGATAAGTATCTTCACAGTGGAAAAAAAAAAAAAATGAAGATGTGAAATGTCTGAAGCAAGTCAGTGCTCAGACTGAGGTGAGTTCATGGCTTTGCCACACTGGGATTTTGCCCCAGAACTCCTGCACCAGCACTGTGCACCATGCTGGATCTCCATAGATGGGGGGTTTTATCCATTTTTGTCTCATTTATCCTCTCACTCCACCCCAGGCTGTGTTCATGCCTCCTGCTTCCCCATCACCCGTTCAAAACAGCCCCGTTTTCTCACGTGTATGCACATATCTATTTGGTGGCTTCGTTGCCTGGGAGTGGTGTAGGGGATCCTATCCACCCATCATTTCTCAAACACTGATACAGAGGGAGGGAGCCAGCAGCCCTCACTCATTTACTAATCTGGTAGAAACCAGAAGCTCCCATGCCCTTTCAGTCTGCTCCTGCTGTTTTATAATTTCCATACCACCATTCAGTTTCCAGGTCAGAAATGGCAGTATCTGCTGTGGCTGCCCATGCACCATGGCCCGGGAGGCATTGGTAGTGAAAATGAGCAGACTGGAGTCTACGAGCTGAGGAACACAACTCCAGGGTGGGTAGGTACCACCTGGGTGTGGCTGTCAGATGCTAAATAAGCCAAAGGCATAGATGCAGAAATCATTTAGTCCAGAGGCAGAAACGGTGAAGGTGAATCTATATACAGGGAAAAAAAGAAGTCCTGGAATTAGTCAAAGATTAGGCTTACAGGACCAGAGAAACAAGAGTGAATGCAGAATGACCAGACTACGTTCTGTTGGATTGGGGAGGGGCTGCCTTTTGTTCTGGACTCCCAGGTTTAAGTGCACTGAGAGTGCCTTCTGATACTTAGCACAGTGGAGATACTGAATCTAGTGATTTAACACTGGAATAGTCTTTGTTGTGTACTTACTATATTCAACACGTATTTGGCATCAACTCTATCAGGCACTCTACTGGGTCTTCCCATGGTCCACAAGAAACCAACAGACATGGTCTTTGTCCTGGAGCCAGTGAAGGATGGGGACAATTGAACAAGCATTTACAGTAAGGTATAGACTTGAAGTGGATAAGATAAAATGTATAACATGGGAAATAGTGGAGAGAGCAAGGCTGAAGATATAAGAGGCTGAGACACCCAATAAAGTCAGGCTCTGAGAAGATAGAAGCTGGGACCAGAGCATGGGGAATGGACCACCCCATGTGCTGTAAGATAGGACATGGAAGGAAGCAGGAGCACATTTGTTGGGTCTGGTGGCTAGAAGCTAAGTTCCTGGCTCTAGAAAGGAAGTCATCATTGTCTGCCGTGAATGTGGTTTGAAATTTGAAGAATTTTGAAGGTTTAAGCTTTTGCAAAGAGATACTCTTTTTTGGTGACTGTTCTGAGTCCATTTTTCCTGGAAGACAGTATGTGCCTTTTCAGTCCATAGATTCAAATTGTCTTTTATTTCACATAATTTTTTTTTGAATTTCATCTTTATTTACTGTTCTCAGTTTTCCCCTTTAGGAATGCCAATTATGTATATGTTTGTCTTCAACTAATTATCACTTTACTTAATTTTTTATTTCCTTGTCTTTTTCTCATTTCTGCCCACTGTGTTTTTTATGGTGTTGTCAACAACGTCTCTTGTCCCTTATGCTCCTTTCATTTTTGTTCTCTTTTCTGTGGTTTTACTTTTCTATGGTATCTATCCTGAGCCCACAGCTGCCTTCAGTATCCACAAAGCTGATGCCTGGACGCTGGAACTCCAGGTATGGTTGCAACTGCCTCTAAAGACTTAGGTCTCCATAATCTTGTTTTCTAATAGCAGCAGCAAGACGGGCTCGGTTTCACATCTGCTTCTAAATATTGTGAGTGCATCTGACGGGCAGAATCTCATTTACAGCCAGGACCCTAGCTGCAAGAAAATCTCAGAAATGTAGTTCTAAGCTTTATACACTCTATACATAGAAGGATGAAGGAATGGAGGTTGAGTGAGCCAACTCACAGTATCTACCACGACCTTCTATGTTGTGAATACCTTTTACAAGTTTAGTGTTTATGAGATGAGAGTTTCAGCTCTTTAAATAATTTCCTCCATGGTTTTCATCTTTGGTGTTATGCTTAGAAAAACTTCCTTACCCTACTATATATTTTTTTCACTTTTCAAAGATCGTTTAAATTTTTTCTTCAGAGAATTCCTGAAAACAAATAATAGAAATAATTTATAGCTCTGCCACTCTTTAAAATATTATATGGAGAAAGAAGTAAAAGAGCTCCTGCTTCTTCTGGCCCCTCCATTTCTATCCTTCCAGAGGTAACCTAGAGGGCCCCAGTTTGGTACATAGTCTGTTAAATAACAAAATTCAAGGGGCACCTGGCTGGCTTAGTCAGTGGAGCATGCAACTCTTGATCTCAGGGTTGTAAGTTCAAGCCCTATGTTGGGTGTAGAGATTACATTAAAAAAAAAACTAAAAAAAAATTCAACTGAGTAAATTTGAAGATCTAATTG